TGTAATATCATCTGCTGTCAAAAAAAGTTTTTATTTTTGGAGACAGGGTTTCACTATGTAGTGCAGGCTGGCCTTGAACTCACTGTGCAGCCCAGGTAGGCCTTGAACTCACAGCGATCCTCCTGCCTCAGCCTCCCAAGTACTGGGATTACAGATGTGTGCCACCACATCTGGCTGCTCTCAAATATTTTTAATAAGAGCCTAAAGGTAATAAACCTGACTACAGTTGAAAAAGTCAAGTATTTCATCTTTCAGTGATTTGGAATACATATTAGATATTATATACTTCTCACCTTTTTTTTTGAGATACATAATTTTCTCCTTTTGTCTATAAATGTACTGTTCAGATATTTTCTCATGTTGAGCCATAGGAATAAACTCTTGGCTTGAAAAAGAAATCATTCCATATAGTCTCGTGCCTCAGCTGAAAGGCACAAGCCAGTCCACTCTGCACAACGTATGGTGACCTTCCTTATTAAAGGAAATGGTTTGAAATTGTATTATTCATGTCAGAAGGAAAAATGGATGTCAGTTCTTTGGTTATTTATCATGCAACTACAAGTTCACTTTATCACTTTGCCACTAATGTAGGCAGATGTATTTGGAAATGGGGACTGGGATGCAAGTCAGGGGATTATAATCCTGAATGCATTGCGTTTTAGCTCTGAGAATTTATACAATTTACTTAAATTACTTGGGCTTCAGAAATACTACACAAAAAGAGACCTGTATGCACAACTTAATCTCCACACTGTTTGCTCTTATGTGATATACAAGGCTCTCAGTATTTACTATAGTAAACTGCTGAACTGGGAGATAACTTATTTGCAGTTGTTCTTTCCGAGACAGGGTCTCACTAGTTCAAGGTGGCCTGAATTCACTATGTAACCCAGTGAATTCCAGGCTGAACTCAAACTCACAGTAATCCTGCCTCCCAGTTCCAAGTTCTGGGTTTGCAATACCCTAAGTTTGGTTTTCAATAAGACTCACTTATGTCACAAAGGATGCGTATCATTTGGGGGGGCAGGCCAAAGAGTACGCTGCAGTAAACGTGTCTCACTTTTTCGGGACTCCTTCCCTATATTTGAGGATTTCCTTGCCTTTGAGGGAGAGCTCATCTTCCACTCTGGAAATGGAAAATGCTAAACAACTGCTTTCCCAGCTTTTTCACAGCCGTGCCACGTACATGCCCGATGTTCTACCACGCAGGAGCCCCCACTCCAGAGGTTGAATGAGAAGCCCAAAATGTAAAGAAACTGCTGTGCGGGTTCGGGCTAATGTGGCGAGTGGAGGTGGCACCATTTTCAGAGGCTGTGGCAGTGCCATTCTCAAAGCAGTGCATGGTGTCCCAGGCCTTCAACCATGCGGCCCAACTGTGGGCACTGTTTTCTAACTCTGGAATCGACAAACCTGGTTTTCTGGCCTTCTTGGAAATGTAATAAATTGTATTTAGTAAATTCCTCTCTGCTTAAATTAAACAAAGCTGGTTTCAGTTTCTTGAAACTGAAAACTCTTCAGTTGCTCTAGTCCATAAACAGTTGGTCCACAAAACACCATCTCCAAATCCAACTGACTCTTCTTTCATTCCTACCCTTTGTATTTTATTTTTGACCTTCCTACCTTTTGTGTTTATTTTGTGACATTTGCCCCTTTGTAGTTCTTTGAGGCTAATTCTCTGATCTTAAAATGTCAGGATAAGAAAGAAGCACATGGAGTTTGCCAGGATTTGCTTCACCTCAGTCCCAGAGATGCTCTTGTGCCAGGAGCCTTGAGTGGTGGTCAGGCCTTTGTCCTTTACGAGCCACAGTTCACTGCCTACTTAATAGTCCTTTCATTTAAAAAGATCTCTTGTTGGAGTCTCACAAGAAGAACCATGAATTAATTGGTTAGAAAAAAACACAGTTTTGGAATCGGACGGAAGAGCAAGCCTGTGAAATGGTATTCCACAAACTCGTACAAAATGGGAATCTTTTCCCTGGTTCCCACAGTTCCTAAGAGCTCTGCGTTCACTCCATTTCCCAAGGTCCCTCTCCGACGTGGAGTGCCGCCCCCACCACCACATGGCCCATCAACACAGTGCTGTCACCAGACATTTGCTGGACGGGTGAAAACGCACTGTCAGAGAAAATCATTGCAAGGGAGAAAAGTCACTGTTATGGCTGTGTCTAGATGTCCTCCCAAAGCCTCATTAGCTCATAGGTGGGCCTTTCTCAGAGGTGGCTGAATCTAGAGTGTGTGATGCTGGGATCAATTCATGGTGCAGTGCTAGGCTCAAGGGCACTAGGACTAAGGGTGTGAGTGCTACCTGGCCTGAGTAGCCTGGAAAAGATACAAGAGATAGAAAAAGCTGTGGTTGCCCCGTGTTGCTTTGCTACCTTCTGCCCACCATGAACTGTTTCTCCTCTGTGCTTTCTGTCTGCTATGCACACCCTCCTTTGGAGCCAGCTGATTATAGACGGAAACCTCTACAAACTATGAGGTAAATAAACTTCTCCTCCTTTAACTTTGGGTGTCTGGTATTTTGTCTCAGCAATAGGGAAAGTAACTCACTTGGGTCCGTGAGTTCGGATCCGTCTTAAAGAGTATTTCAACAAAGAGTAAATTTTAGAGAAATGATAAAAGAAAGCACTCTCAGGCTTCAGAAGCAGAAAAGCTGGGAAGATATTTTCATGAGAAGAAAGTCAGCTCACAGATTTGTCTGGTACGACTGTCCTGAAAAAGCAAGCACTGTAAAGAATCTACATATCCAAAGCTGGGTGTGGTGGTGCACACCTGGAATCCCAGCCCTCTGGGAGGCTGAAGCAAGAGGAATGCAAGTTTGATTTCAGCTTGGTGAAACCCTGTCTCAAAATTAAAAAGTGGGTTTAGGGATGTAGCTCAGTGCAAAGGCCCTGGATTCAGTCCACAGCACTGAAAAAAAATCTTAGTCTTTAGGCAGGAAAGACAGATGGGTAGAGAGATGGTTTATCTTCGTGAATCTGTGTCCCTGGTAGGCAAACGAGAACAGAAAGCTCCTCTGCATTTGGATTCTCTTCAGCTCAACAATCTTTTGTATTTGGGGACAAGATATTTTGGTTATTTTCAAGCATAATTTTGTAAAGATTTCCTTTCACATTTTCACAGCGTGACTGATGAGTCATGATCCCATCCTCTCTGCTGTGGCTGAGACAGATGTGTGTCGTGGGGGGTAGTGTGCATCCTAACCCTAAAAATAATGACAGTACTCTGGCTTCTCTTCAGAGCGTGTAAATCTTTCGCCTTTTACCAAAAATAATGACAAAAATAAACAGAATAAAGAAGCAAGTGAGATTTTAAGGAAGTGATCTGCAGAGTTAATGGCCAAACAATTTCATTTTTGTCAGACAAAAAACTGCCAGTGAGAAAGTGCTCTGGAAAGACCAGAGAGAAAAGCTATGCCCCTCTCCCTGTAGATGGCCACGGGCTGACTGAGGCTGCCTGGCTTCTGACTGCCAGGCTGTCCTTTGTCACACGACAGTGACAGGAAAGGGCTCCAGGGCCTGCAGGAATCTCTTGGGGAGCAGGCCGTGGCTACAGCAACAATGGGGGCAGAGGGAGCCGATGCCTTTCCTGGGGACCCTGGTGCCTCAGGAAGCCTCCAGGGCCAGCATTAGCCTGACGGGAAGCCAGACAAAAAAGGAGGAAAGCTGGTCACCCGGTGTTTACTGAGGGAACCTGTGCCCTGACAGATAGCAAACATTCCTGACCGGGGAAGGCGGCTGGACTTCCTGCCTTTGCAGGTGGGATCAAAGTCTAAATATTGTTTTGTGACTTGTGAGTTTCTGGTTTGGGTCTGAGTCAGTTGTGGGATATACAGTAGGCAGATCAGAAACAAGCAGTGGTGGGGCTGGAGGACTTGGACAAAGGCATCTTCCCTGAAGGGGCTTCTCTTTGCCCAGGGCAAAGTCAGGTAAAGGAGAAGAAGAGAAAAAGACAAGTTTGGAGACCACAAGTGGTCCCACAAAGCCAGAGGTGCCGGGGAGGAAACAGGCTGGGCTTATAGAAAAAGGAGGGAAATGACACAGGTCACTGTGTGCAACCCGACTCACATTCCCTGGGTGCTTACTGCTTGTGATCCAGATGGATTGAGCCCAACATTAGATCATCTTCCATGCTGAGATATTTCTCCCTGGTCCCTATGTTTCTGCCTGTTTAGGGAGCAGAGGTGCCAGGGGCTTCCTTCCAAACCTTCTGCCTGGAATAAGGCGTTAATATTTTACTGATTTAAAGACAAATTGCAAGAAGCTACTGGGTCCCAGGCCCGGCAGCACTTTACTTACTCCATAGAATATGCATGTGATGAACTACCAGAGGAACCCAAGCCAAGCTGAAATGTGAAAGTCTGCTATCCAAGAAGCAATGAGAGGGGCTGGGAATATAGCTCAGTGGCACAGCGCCTGCCTGGCAAGCGCAAGGTCCTAAGTTTGATTCCCAGCACCAAAAAAAAAAAAAAAGAAGAAGCAGCAGCAATGAGAGCAAGGTGATAGCCAAATAGGCCAGGAGAGGATTCTAAACTAACTTTAGGGAAGGGCAGTGAAATATAACAAAAAGCTTTAACTATGGGCACCTTGTTTGGCCTACCAAGTGTGCAGATATTTAAATCATCAAAATTATAGATCTGACAAATACGTTAATGTAATTAACTTACTACAAGTGGAGGTATTAGCTTTGAGCAGTTAGCTCTTAATCTGATGGGTATGATGAGTCAACATGTTCCTCTGACTCACAGGAAGAAAAAGTAAACTAATACTTAAACATTTATATTAGTTTTTTTTTTTTTTCCCCGGTACCAGGAATTGAACTCACGATCTTGCGCTTGCCAGGCAGGAGCTGTGCTGCTGAGCTAAATCCCCAGCCCCAACATTTATATTAGTAAAGAAGAGATTACTAGAAACTTTAGGTAATTCACCTTTGAAAGTGTCTCTAATGGTTCAGAGCCTCCCAAATACTCAGAATATTGAAGTCTAAAAGACAGAATGCAGTGAATGAAGATGTTTGTTTTATATGACCAAACATGTTATGGCCTTTTTAACTAATTTGTTTAGCTTCCTTTGTAATTAATATTTCTAAATTACACGGCATTGAAGGATCAGAGAATGTATTTGTTTCTGGAGATGCACTTTATCCAAAGATAGCATTATCTGAAAAATAAAAATAAAAGTATGTGTTACACAACATATAATGTATTTCATAGTTTCCAAAATAACATGGAGGATAATGGGAGGAATACTATTTTATAGGTACAAAAACTAAGGTTGAGCATAGAGTGTTTTGTTTGCAGTGCTAAAGATCTAACCCAGAGCCTCAAGCTTGCTGAGAAAGTGCTCTACCATGGGCCTCCACCCTCTGGAACTGAGGTTTAGAGATACTAAATGATAAGTACATGAGATTAGTTAATGGCAGAGGCAGAACTTGGACCTGAGTCTTCTGTTCTTAAGCAACACCACCTCCTTTGGCCTCCAGATCTCCTCGTGGAAGACTCAGAGAGCTTGGAGATCTCTGGCCAAGAAAATTCTGTCCCTGCTCTTCACATCACTATAGAGAGAAGCAAAGGGGAGCCACCAGAGTGCCAAGTGCTCTTAGCAAATCCGCAGCCCCCTTCCCCTTCAACATTCAGGGCTTCTTGCTGTAGTTTAGATTGGGAATTTCCCCGGAGGCCCTTGTGTTAAATAAAGGTTCGGTCCCCACAGTGGCACTACTGAGAGGTGCTAGAACCGTGAAGGGTGGGCCCAGGCGGAAATCTTTAGGTCATTACAAGTGTGTCCTTCCCCAGAGACTGTGGAACCCTGACCCCTTTCTCTTTTGCTCTTTGGCCATGAAGGGAGCAGTTTTGCTTCACCACATGCTCCCCTGCATTCCCATTTGGCAGCCCTACCAGAGGCCCAAAAGCAATGCATCCACCTGATTGCAGACTGCCATTAACCAGTCTGATACTTTTAGTTATTCGGTGTTTCTAAGTCTCACTTTCACATTGGGGATATAGCTCCATGATAGAGCCCTTGCTTAGCACGTGCAAGGCCCTGGGTTAGCTTTCCAGCACTAATACCATGAGCCAAAGTAACCTTTTCTCTTTATAAGTTGATTATCTCAGCTATTTGTTACGGTAACAGAAAGCTGACCCATGATTGCTTATTCACATTATCCTCCCCAGTGCCTGGCACTGAACACCCGGTGCTTATTGAATAAATGGATGGATGGATGAATAAATAATTTGTTGCAGGAGATGACACATTTGAGCTGCCTGCTGGAGAATGTATTATGTGAGAAGCTCATGTTAAGCTCAACACATCTCCTTACCAGTTTAGACCATTGCTTCCTATGCTTTGGGTACTAACGCTTATCTAGGGCTGGGGATATAGCTCAGCAACACAGTGCCTTGCTTGGCCAGTGCAAGGGCCTGAGTTTGATTCCCAGTACCAAAAAAAAAAAATTAAAATATTAAAATAACCCTTATCTATCTAGTTCTTTGGGCAGCAGTGCATCTTCATGTAACATTCCCTAAGCTTCTGCCTCTGCTTCTGTTTCCCCATAGCACATAACCACTCATCACTATCTGACATGGGTATCTATTTTAAAAAATTGTTTATCTTGATCTACCCAATAAAATCTAAACTTTCTGAGACAGGGATTTTATGAATTCTTATGTTGGTAAGCATATAGAATGCTGCCAGACATAAAGAAGGCACTCATGAATAACATTGAACGACTTCATAAAGAATACATGAGGGAGCCGGGCGTGGTAGTGCATGCCTGCAATCCCAGGACTCAGGAGGCTGAGGCAGGAGGGTGGTTGCAAATTCAAGACCAGCCTGGGCTACAAAGTGAGCTCAAGGCCAGCCTGAACTGCATAGCTACATCCTGTCTCAAAAAGACAAAAAGAATACATGAGGTTGCTTCCTCCTCACACAGGTGGACCATGAAACACAGGTCAGGAGTGGGGATTTTATCCAAGTTGTGGTGTGAACCCATAGTTGAGCTGTCTAATGCATGCTTTTACAAGGCCACTCAGGCTGTTGGGTAGTGAGTGCAGGGGAAGCTGGGGACAGTCAGGAGGCTCCTGCTATACCTCTGGAGAGAGAATCGTTGTGGCATTGGGGTGGTGCCGTGGTGATATTCAGGACTGATTTTGGAGGCAGAGCTGACAGGGCTTGCTGACTGGCTGGACGAGGGATGTGAGGGAAGGAGTGGTCTCAGAGGTTCTTCTAGGTCTTTTGCCATTTTCTGAGATGAGACAGATGAGGTTTAGTGGTGATGTGTGTGTTGGGGAGTATTTTGGCTTGTGCCTGGATGTCCCCCCAAAACCTCATGCCGTTTTAGATGGGGTTTTTTATAGAGGGGGTTTTTCTAGACTGAATCTAGAGGGTGTGATTGATTCATGGTGCAATTCTAGGATGAAGGGTGCTGGGCTGAAGGATGGGTGATTGCTGGATCAGTGCATTATAGGTTTTGCACTACTCTAACCCTGCTAGCCTGGATACAACATAAGAGACAGAAAGGGGCTTGTCTCCCCTCCCTTGCTTGCTTTGCTACCTCCTGGCTGCCATGAACCATTCCTCTGCCATGCCACCTTGCCTTGGAGCCAGCCGATGATGGACTGAAACCTCTACAAACTGTGAGCCAAATAAACCTTTCCTCCTTTAACTCTGGGTGTTGGGTATTTTGTCTCAGCAGTGAGAAAAGTAACTGAGACAGGGTGAGGAACAAGAACTGTTTCATCACTGGTAAACTGCAGATGACCTCGGGTGGAAGGGACAGTCTGTTGTACATGTCCAGTCTGCCTGTTTGGAAATTGGAAGAGGCCAGGGCCACAGTAGAAATGGAGTAGAGTAGGAATCATATTGTTAGTGCTCTAAAAGGTTACGTCCCAAAAACTGTCTATGTCAAGATCATCCAAAGAGCAAGAGGACCAGTATTGAGCTTTGGTGTTCTTCAACAAAGGACAGTGGAGGGTCATCTTCTCTAGAGGGGGCTATTGCATACTGAATGATGGTTATCATTTAAGACAAATTGTTGGGAGTCCATCCATCTAGTAAGTTCATCAAATTTTACAAGTAAGAGCCCTCTCTGCATCTGCTGGTCACCTGGAAGGTGTGCTTTATCTCTCAAAGTCTCATAGCTGGTCTGAAATTTGAATTTGAGATGGGGCAAATTCTTTCTAGGCATGAGTTGGTCATTAGTCAATTCCTGTGAAGCTTTGTTTGTTCAGTCATGGAAGCCAACACTTTTACCTCAACCTGTCTCTCGGTTGTTCTAAACTCAGGATAGGAACAGAATATGTTACTGTTGACCTTCTCAAACCTTAACATTATTCATAATTCAGAATAAAGTAGGCTCTGAAAAAAAGCAGAACAAAAACCACTGCCCTTCTCTGTGCTTAGGTACTTTCCACTTGGTGGCAATAGGGAAAGAAAATCTCAATATCTCTTCTTTATTCTTGATGAGAATTAGGGTTGAAACTGAGTGCTACAAGTTTCAAATAAAAATTGAGACAAATCCGGGCAATTTTTAACAGGCTTTTGAGAATACACAGTGCTGAGGCAATGATTATATTTTCTTTAAATCAGCAACTCTCAAACTTTCTGGTTTTAGGATCCGTTATGCTTCTCATTATCACTGAGGACTCTTATCAAGCTTTTGTTCAATACTTCTAATATTTACCATATTAGAAATTAAAACAGGAAAGGATGGAACTCAGAGCTTCACATGTGCTAGGCAAGTGCCCTAGTACCACGCTACATCCCACCAACCCCTAAAACTGAGAAGTTTTTAAGGCTCAAGTTCATCCCACATTCTTCTAGTGGTCAGAGTAATGATATCCTCACACACTGTTACTCTCAGGCAAGCAGGGGAGTGGAAAAAACAGTATCTCAGTATCATTGTGAAAGTAGCTTCAACCTCATGCACCTGAAAAATTTGAATGCCCAAGGATCCCCAAGCCACACACTGATACAACTAGATTATTTACATACCACTTACTAAAACATTTAAATCAGGCCTATGCTTATTGTGTATTTTGTCATCATAAACTTGAGTTGTTATAAATCTTAGAAGGTGCAAAGAGTTTTTCTAAAGTATTGAAAAGTTTGTTTTACAATCCTCATCCTGTTGGCTGATAACCTTGATACCAAAAATGTTGGTTATGGGATAACATGTGTCAGACTATGTACTGCAGACCATTATGTATCTTCCTGTGAAGGCGGATACCATGTTGGTCCTAGGAGGAAGATTTCCCTCCACCATCAAATTCAGGAGAACCAACATACCAATGAAGATTTTACTCAAGTTCCAAATAATTCCCCCAGAATAAAAGATTATGAGTTTTTTTTCCTCCTAGAATTAGGAACATGAAAGGCATTCTTCTTTTTAGAATTATTATTATTATTTAGTTTAACAGATAATTGATACAGATTAACCATAAAACACATTTTAAGGTTACACATTTGGAGCATTTTGGCTTCTCAGGTCATACCTCGTCACCACCCCACACCACTAAGAGCATTGGCCAGATTCAGAGTCACAGACACATAAAAAAAGTTCACTCTCTAACGTGGGCCATTTTTTGTTTCTGAATAAATTGCTAATGCATTTGTTGTATTGAATATACATGTACATACTTTTGTTTTTGTCTTGGTTACTTTTCTCTGGTTGCTGAGACAAAATTCCTGACGCCCAGAATTAAAGAAGGAAAGGTTTATTTAGCTCACAGTTTTTGGAGGTTTCAAGGCAGGTTGGTTCCAAGGCAGAGTAGCGCATGGCAGAGGGGAACAGTTCATAGGCAGAAGCAACAAGAGCAAAAAGGAAAGAGTCGGGTGGGGGAGCAAGCTTCTTTCCCTTCCTTATATTGTATGCAAACCACCCACCCTAGGCAGGTGTAGCACTCACACCCATAATCCCAGCTTTAGACTATGGATATATCATAAACTGTAGAAACCCACCCCATGACTGCATGAGGCTTTGGGGGGACATCCAGACACAAACCATAACAGTTTTGTTTTTTGAGACAGGGCTCCAGGGAGTCCTTGAGCTCACTCTGGACCCTGAGTTTGTGGCAATCCTCCTGCCTCATCCTCCTGACTACTGGTCATCCCTCCTGGGATTACTGGTGTGCCCTACAACACACGGCTACACATACTGTTTTCAGATAAATGTATTATCAGTTGCCTGCCTTGACCAAGAAACAAGTATCCACAATCAGTATTTATTTATTTATTCATTTATTTCCGGTACTGGGAATCAAACTCATGACCTCGCGCTTGCCAGGCAGACTCTGTGCTGCTGAGCTACACCCCCAGCCCCACACAATCAATATTTATAACAATATCAAAATAACTGGAACTTACCAGTTCCTCTCCTCCTTCCTGAAAAATACCACCACCCCACATCACTGCCCTCCACCCAGCTTCCCTGCACTTTTTTATCATTGCTTCTTGGGGCTTTCTATTTGTCATCTCCACTTTACTTCAGCTGTGCACAGACATGTTTCCCGAGGCAGCAGAAATTGGCAAGATGGGCGGTCTCTGTAGTTTCTGCATCTACAATAATTGCCTGACAGCTCTTTCTCAAAAGGTGGGTCCTTGGGCAATCATCAGAATCACCTTGGTCTGCTAAGGATGTAGATTGTAGGCCCGAAATGAGAGCCTATTAAATGAACCAACCTGCAGCCGGGGCCTGGGATTCTTTAGGAAAAAGAAAATGAATCTAATCTATAGTGGTGTCTAGAGCAACCATTTTCCTGAGATTTTGCCTACAGGTGGATTGCCTTTTTTGTTGGTTTGTTAGATGTTTGAGACAAGGTCTTACTGTACAGTTCAGGCTGGGCTTGAACTCACTTTATGGCCCATGGTGGCCACAAACTCAATAGTTCCTCCTGTCTCAGCCTCCTGAGTGGTAGGATTATAGGTGTGTGCCACCATGCCCAGCTTCCAGATTCCAACTACTCCAGGATCATCCCTAGGAATCTCTTAGGAAATTCTTCCTAAATTTTCTTACAAATCCCTTCTATAGGTTGAGTAGGAATCCTACTAAGAGGTCTTACTTTTTGGTGGAAAATGCTTTCTCTCCTTATGAACAAGGAGACTGAGTTGGACCCAAGAACTCCGGCCACTGTCAGGAACAGGCTCTTTAAACTGGGTGCAGGCAAAGGACTGATAGGTGCCAGTGAAATGCCTCTTTTGAACCCTCAGTAAGCTGACTTGATTGCTTCTTTCTACTAAGCAGTTGGATTCACGTTTTTCATTTATCTCCTTCAGGAGACCCTGCCTTCTTCCTCCAAGTTTTTTAATTTTTTCACTGGATATGTTTGTAGTTGCCATTATGCTACTTCTTGCTGCCCTGAAAACAAATAAAAATACTATGTATTAGAAGCTAGTATTCACTATGATGTTAACCAGATCCTCTTTCTCCATCTGCAAAATAATCCCACCTCCCTACCAGCAGGGCCTCCACTCCACAATGTCATGTCTGACCCAAGACAGACCCTCTCGGCAAGACAGACCCTCCACAAACAACAGAAAACCACTAAAGGGCCATGCTGCCCTCAGCAAACAGAACAGATGGCCATAAAGAAAATTTAGGACATGACATATAATCTTGCCAATGTCAGAAAATCCAGTATTACCTACACACTTGCACCGACCATCCTGGGAACTTTGACCCCAAACAATGCACTCAGATTCCTTGAGTTTATAATCCCATCCTGCTGGGGATTTAGCTCAGTGGCAAAGCGCCTGCCTGGCAAGCGCAAGGTCATGAGTGCGATTCCTGGTACTGGAAGAAAAACAAAAACAAACAAACAAACAAATATAATCCCATCCCAAAACTGTACAAAGACTTAACTTCTTCTCTGGCCAGCTGCTGAAATCGCTCACAATCTTAGCCAGCCTGCACCCAAACAATAAATCCAGCCTTTGCTCACATAAAGCCTATGTGTCCGGGTGGTTTCTTGTGTATAACATATTCATGCTGAAACCCTGATAGGCCACTCCCTTCTTGGGGGGGTCTCATACCACATCTCCGGCCTTTCTGTCACCAAGACCACCCAGTGACGTCGGCCCCGAGACATTGCTCCAGTGCTCCGGCAGCTTCCGTCACTCCAGAGTGCTTCAGATTGGGTGAGGTGTTCTCCCCGCCCCTCTCCTGCCTTTCTACCCTTCTGCCCACTGGGACAGAGTGAGGCCCACCCTACTTTCCACGCCTGTTAAAGCCAGCACTGATCGTGGACACTCCCTGGGAGGCTGATCAGCTGTAGTGACGATCGCCTTGGTCACTCACCCATGCTCCGCTGTGGCCCTGGTCACAACTGGAGATGAGACGTCTGCCTCAGACCTTGGTGCCACTTTCCTTTTGTCCTGCCAGGTGTGACAGCTGAGGGCATAGGCCAAGTTTATGTCCCTTTCTCCCTGACAGACCTCTCCCAGACTGGTCAGCATCTGGGCTCCTTCTCCTCCAATCCTACCCAAGATACACAACAATTCCAGTACTTGGCCCAGTCCTATAATCTCTCCTGGGCAGATTGAAATGTTATCCTTAACTCCATTCTTTCCCTACTTAAAGGGGAACAGGTAATCTCCCTGGCCCAGTCTTATGGGGACAAATGCAAATGCCTTCATTCTGACCTTCCCAAGAGGCCCTGAGGTTGTTCCCCTGGAGGACACAAACTGGAACTTTAGCCAGGAGCCCAGGATATAGTTGACCGAGATTGCATGGTCTCCTACCTAGTAGAGGGACTTCACGGGGCAGCCCATAAGGCAGTTAATTTTGAGAAGCTCAAAGAAACCACTCAGAACAGGGATGAAAATCCAGCCCAGTTTATTGCTTGCCTGGCTGCTGCCCTCAAGCAATTCACAGCATTAGACCTAGAACAGCGCAAGGAATATCTTATCCTAAATGTGCATTTTATTACCCAATCAGCACCAGACATCGTAAAAAACTACAGAAACGGGAAGCTGGCCCTCAAACCTCACAGCAGGAGCTAATCAACTTGACCTTTAAGGTTTTTTAGTAAGAGATGAAAGTGCTCAAAAGCAGTGTATTTCTGAGCTGCAAGTGTTAGCCTCCACTGTAAGAAGCTCTCAGGCTGGACTAAATCCCCAGCCAGTGGCTAAAAATACTTCTAAGGTCTCCTTGCCCAAGGGCACCTCTCCAGAGCCATGCTTCAAGTGCCACCAACTCAGTCATTGGGCCGAGGAATGCCTGAAGCTCAGGATTCCTTCAAAGCCATGCCATTCACGCAGGGTCCCAGCAAGGGAAGTTGACTACCACATGGCGGCATCCAACCCTGGAACTTGCCCCCGGGGCCCCCAGCTGGCTCCTTCCCAGAACATTCTTGGCCTGGCCAATGAAGACTGACATTGCCCAGGGGTCTCGGAGGCCCCCCGGAACCATCTTGGATGCCAAATTCCAGGTAACTCTTACCGTAGAGGATAAGTCCATCCCATTTTCCAAATCAATTGTCTTTGCCTCAGGGATGGAATCATTTCCCAGGCTCATGCTTATTTTTCCCTAGTTAGGCGCTTTCCCTCCCCTTCTCTATGTCCCTTGGCCAGGTTAGCCCTCTTCTTCCTTTCACCATGCTCCAAGTTTGCACCCCACAGCCTCTCCTGACAGTCTCTATTTCTCACAGCTTTTATAGGATCGTGTTCAAGGGAACAAAATTGAGAGATGCTAGCTCTAAGCACTCCTCAATAGAACCTCCTTCCCCAAAGTTTCTCTCCTAATTAGACTGCGCATGCTGCCCCATTTATCCCATAGGAAGCAGCCACGAGAAACATTGCCCGCTTTCCTGCCCCTCTCTGTGTATAACAACAAATAGATGGACATGTCATGTCGGACTGGAGAGAGACCATAAAGAAAATTTAGGACAGAACATACGCTCTCCCCAGCACTGGCAAATCCAGTATTAGCTACACACCTGCACTGACTGTCCTGGGGACTGTGACCCCAAACAGCCCACACAGATTCCTTGGGATTATAATCCCATCCCCAAATCCTATAAAAGTTTAACTTCTCCTCTGGCTGAAATCATTCATAATCTCAGCCTGTCTGCACCCAGACAGAATAAATTCAGCCTTTGCTCACATAACGCCTATGTGTCCAGGTGGTTTCTTATGCGTCATTGATAAGACACACCTCATCCTAATTTTTATTATTGCCTCCTAAATTCTTTTTCAGATTTTCTTCAGTGAGAAGTAAGTTCATAGGCTATAGCAGAGAATATATTTTGTTTCTGAAATAGTATGCATTGATTCTTGCTTATAGGAACATTTCTTGTTCCTTCTTACTATAAAAAAAATTCATATTCATTGTAGAAAATTAAGAAAACATCAAAAAGACTAAGATAGAGAAATTAAAATCACACTTGACACAGCGGCAACCAACATTCACATTTTGGAAGTTTCTTTCCCAGTAAGTATATAAAGGGATTTCATTGTAAGAAAGTACAGAAAAATTCATTGGCCGGAACAGAACAAATTTAAAGACATGTAAGTGATAGGTGTTTTAGGAAGATTTTTCGCTTGTTAGGGCCATGAATATGTCTTTGCCACATCTGAAGTGCTTAAGAATCACACAGGTTCTCCTGCTCCACTTCCGGCTGGGATGCAGCTGTTACTGAATAGCTCTTTTCTAAAAACTGGCTCACTAACTGTTGCTGGGTTCTGGATCGCTTGCTTCTCCTTCTGGAGTTGGATTCCAGGTTCTTCTCACTTTGAACAAAGAATTCAACAAATCTAGCAAAAAGTAGTGGCAAAGTTTATTCAAGAAGCCAAAAATAAACCGGGGATAGTAGCGCACGCCTGTAATGCTAGCCCTCGGGAGGCTGAGGCAGGAGGATTGGTGCGAGTTCGAGGCCAGCCTGGGCTACAAAGTGAGCTCAAGGCCATTCTGAACTGCACAGTGAGACCCTGTCTCAAATAGACAAAAAAAAGAAAGAACGAAATAAAGAGTGGGAGAGAAACAGGCTCTGCAGAGTGAGGTTGGACCGAGTAAACAGAAAAAGAGGTTGAGAGCAAAGATGAAAGTACACACTGCGTCTGGGAAACACCGTGTGGGCTCTCACAGGAAGTTATGATAGCCTAAGCCGGCATGGTGTGGATGTGTCCTTTTATGCTGTCAAATCTCCAGGAAACCCATGAGAGCTTCTACATCCGGGTCCTGCGAGGCCGTGCTGGGATCCTATTCCACAGGCTGATGTCAGGTCTAGGCCATCCTATTCAAAACCTGCTTGAATTCTCTGGAGAAGTCCACGTGCAGGGCTTTGGGAAAGGTTTTGCAGACATGTTTGGAATCTTATACTTAATAGGTCACGCCCACTTCCCCAGCCAGTTTTTGCCATGCCCTTATCTCGTATCTCAGCTGGGCACACATCCTGCCTGTGGGTTGACCTTGGCTCAGCTCCCAAGGTTAGTTTGGGACCAGGAGAAACAAGAAAAACTATTTTTCCCTAATTTAGTGGTTCAAGCAGAACTGACTCTCCTATATTCATTTTGTTCCTGGGAATTTGAACATATTAAGAGAAATTTGGAAAATAACATAAGCAATGAGAAGAAAAAAACTTTTTAAAAACAGAACCACGGTTTAATTTTCCATCTCTTTCCAGGTGCACCTTTTCAGGTTTATATTTTTATCTCCCTTGGGAAGTCTTTGAGCTCAGAGCCATAGCTTTCCCAGTAACTTTTAGAGTCGGAACCCAGTATAATGGTGGAACCCAATAAGTAGCAGCTGACAAACTTTCTTTTTTTTTTTTTTTTTTTTTTTGGCTTTTCTCCGGTACCAGGAACCGAACTCACGACCTTGCGCTTGCCAGGCAGGCGCTTTGCCGCTGAGCTAAATCCCCAGCCCCGACAAACTTTCTTAAAGATATAAATCCATTCATGTTTGTGCATAAATATAAAAGGTAAACTACAAGCCAGCTGAAAAGACCAACTTGGTCCTCACGTGATTTAATCAGACATCTTTAGCTGTCAATCACAGAAAATGGAAATACTTTTAACACCGGATCTAACAAGTTTACATCAAAGATGACAAAATGTTTCAAGTGCTCAATCAGCTCTAAAGAACTATGTTGGTTTCAATAAAACTCATTGCTCCAATCACCAATTAATGATCTGGTATAATGAAATCAAGAATAATATGGATGGACCAAATCCACAGTTGTCATTTTTGTCATTAATTTAAACTTTCTTTTACTAAAAATACCAATTCATTAGAAATTAAACTTTAATATTATCACTATCTGCTCTGGAGAGTCTATGAATGAAAAACAAGCAGGGATATGACTAAAGAGAAGGAAAAAGAATGCATGGTAATTATCATTCATGTATTTTTGAGCTCACTTATATTCTGCTAAAAGTCCATTTTATCTGGGTGTGGTGGCACATGCCTCTAATCCTGTCTACTCAGGAGGCTGAGGCAGGAGAATCACAAGGTGCAGTCCACCCTGGGCAATTTAGTAAGACTTGCAGATGGAGCTGTGTGGTAGAGAGCTTGCCTAGCATACATGAGGCCCTGGGGTCCATTCTCAGTACTGGAGGGGAAAAAAGCAACAATTTTATAGATCTACTGCAAAAGAAGCCGAAATGTCCTAATTAAAACTTCACTGAGAAGATCAGGATATTCAGACTCAAACTGAAAGGGAAAAACTGTACCAGAAAAATTTTTCCTTTTAAAAATCTTTGTTCTTTTGAAGCTGCTTAGCTCTGTAACTGCTTCATGGCTCTGTAATTACAGTCTTGACCCCTGTAACCATGAGAGGGTAACCAAGCATGCAGGATGTCTGATTGTAACTGATGATCATTAATCTAGCCTTGTAACCCTTGATCTCACCTTGCTAGCTAATCAGAACTGCCAGGCTGTTCTGTCTCACCTCAGTCCTGCTTGTGCGTGATATAAAAGCCCTAGACCACCAGAGATTGGGGACTGATATCTTGGGAAGGATCCCAATCAGTGCCACTGATGTAAAATAAATCTGCCTCCAAATCTTAGGTGGTGTTTCGGTGTTTCTGTTTGCCATAGCAATACTACAAATAACTTGAAAACTGGAGCCCAGTAAAATTGCTCAGCCATAGGATCCAGCGGAAAAGAATGGATTTTGGAGTCATTTGGTTTAACCACTAGTGATGCTACCTACTGTCCCACTTTGTTTGAATTACCTACCTCCTTTGGGCCTCAGTTTCTTTTTCTGTTCAGTGGAAATGATGTCCAATTCATAGTGTCTATGGCTAGATGGTGGTATATACAAGAGCTTACTACCTTCAACCTCAACGAGGGGTCATTTTATATTATTTAGGCCTTTTGAAAAAAGAATTTGTTCAAGTTGATAGTTATTTTGTCTCCCAAGTTACTAATCTGCCCACTTGCTGTGTGATCAGATGTGGTGGCATAATTTGTGGGCCCCCGTGAAAATGAAATGATAGACCTTTGTTAGAAAACAGTGAAGCCTTCCAGCCAGGCATAGGGGTGCATGCCTGTATTCCCAGCATTTGGGAGGCTGAGAGGCCTAGGAGGATTGTCACAAATTTGAGGCCAGCCTGGGCTACATAGTGAGTTCAAGGCCAGCCTGAACTATGTAGAGAGATCCTGCCTCAAAAAAACTCAACAAAACAAACCAAAAAAAAACAAAAAAAAAACACCGAACAGAACAAACAGAAAGAAAGAAAGAAAAAGAAACTGAAGATTTCCAGAAGGTGCTAGCAGAGCTACATTCAGTGTAGGCCCTCTGTCCATGGGGCCCTGTGTGCCTACACAGGCTGCAGCCCAGGAAGCTGGCCCTGGTGTGACCCTGGAACAGGTCAGTTTCCAGTGGCTTCACCCTGCTTTCCAGTCTCCCACATGGACATAAATTATGTGCATAACCCATGGCTGTGGAAAGGAAGCTGGAAATAGTAAGCGTGTATATACGTATTTGCGAGCTTACCCATCACTCTGCCTTGGATCTAAAACGTCCCCCCAAATCCTTTGTGTGTGGAAGGTGATTGGATCATAGGGCACTACACTTGCCAGGGGACTCCTCCCCTCATGTGCATTAGCAGGAGGCGGCCCACTGGGGGCGGGCCCAGCACGTGAGCTGTATACTTGAGCCTGGCTCCTCCCTTCTCTCTTCTCTGCTATGGGTTGAGCACCTTTTCCTCCTCCGGGCCCCTCCGCCATCTTGTTCTGCCTTGGAGCCAGCCGAGCATGGACTGAAACTCTCAGCCAAAATAAACCTCTCCTCCCTTAAGTTACAGGTACTTTGTGCTGAGGACCAGGCGATATGAAATAATATCTCCCTGTGCTGGGGACCAGGCTATGTGACTGGGGTCCCATGGTCTGGAGGCTGGTGTGACCTCACTTTAGGAACAGAGAAGTATGTGGAAGGCCATGCTTCCTGGCGGCTCAGAGGAAGCTCCCAACCACACAGTCCTGGGGCAAGGTAACATCTGCTGAGGGTAATCTAAAGAATATGGGCATATTGGTAGGGACAAGGATTTGTTCTCCATTAACTAGTTCCATTCACTACAGTCGCTGTTCCATGAAAAGACTACCTGCTCCCCTGTGCGCCTTGATTGCTAATAAAAGTGGGTCAATCGCAGAGTGGCGTCCCTGTCCACCAAAGGCAGGTTCCTCTCGGTCCCCTTGTACCTTGAAATTTGTCTGTCTTTACTCGCCACCCTTCCCCCACGGCTATCTGGGGCTCTGATCAGCTCCCCAATAATTCTGTCCCAGCAGTAGGAAAGCAACTAACATAAACACTTACTAAAAGTTGTTACATGGAATTAATATTTGTGGCATCTTCCGCTATTTGAGGCCATGTCTAAAGCAGCAGGTGTGATGCCCTCGTTCCCAGCCCAGGTCCATAAAATATCCTCTGCCTTCCTGTTCCAGCTCTCAACACAGGTATCCTTTCATGGTCTATTTAGTGCTATATTTTTCACATTTTTGTGGGGTTTTGGGGTGGATTGTGCTGTTAAAGTGGCCCCAAAGGTTAGTGCTGAAAGGCTCTCAAGTGCTCAGGAGCACAAGAAGAATGTGATGTGCCTGGGAGAAATACATGTTACATAAGCTCTGTGTGGGTCTGCGCTATTGTGCTACTATATTGTTCATTGTGGCGGAAGATGCCACAATGAACTCAGTCAACAGTTAATGAATCAACAACATAGACTAAATGAGGTGTGTTTAAACAGAAACATAAGCCAGGCATGGTGGTGCATACCTGTTAGCCCAGATACTCAGGAGGCTGAGGCAAGAAGAGCTCTTGAGCCTAGGAATTTTGGGCTAGCCTGGGAAGTATAGTGAGACCTCTTCTCAAAACAAAACAAAACAAAACAGCACCCCAGAAGCATATGTCAAGTAAAATTACATAATGGTTCACAAAAATTTTGTGACCAGAGGCTGTCCACCAAAGGCAGGTTCCTCCCTGTCCCCTTGTACCTTGAAATTTGTCTGTCTTTACTCATCACCCTTCCCCCACAGCTATCTGGGGGTCTAACCCCCCATGGAAACAACCTAACCTCCCAAGAAACAACAATCGAGTGTTCGTTAATTCAGTGTTTGTGGTGATTTTATAGAATGTAACTAAATATGAGAATTGGTTGTCTATACTGAGAAAATGTGTTAATTTTCCTGCAGGAACATTATTATGGCTCACCTTTCACACACAGCTACCCGAAGCCTGTGGGAAGTCCACAGCGTGGATATGCCCCAGGGAGGTCACCATGGTGATGGAATGTTCTGACCCGGCTTGTCAGCTTTATTCCCTCAGAGAACCCTGGGTAACAGAAGTAATTCTGGAATCAGAGTCAGGTGTCCTCAGATAAATGATTCAACCTTTCTTAATACCAGTTTCTTCATGTCCTGAAGTTGTATGTTTGCATATATGGTAGGTAGTAGAGGGAACCGAGATTAACGCAGGTATCTATGCATTCTGCTGGCCAGCAATTTATCACACGTGCTTAATTCTTGTGGACCTATTCCGTGCCTGGTGCTGTTGTGCAGACTCAGGACAAACAATACTTGCCCTCATAGAGAGGAGTTCTAATTTTTTTTACATTATTCTTTCCCCTCCTTTTTATTACTATATGTTTACAATATCTATTAAATATATTCATTGGTGCATATACAGATTACATCTTGATCTTTTAATCTACGGGGTTCACTGTAGCTTCTCAGTGAACGATAGCTAGTTTTAATAAATTTATTAAAATCTCAGCCCAGGTGTGGTGGCACACACCTGCAAGTCCCAACTACTTGTGAGGCCTAGGTGGGAATATCACCTGAGATGAGGAGTTTGAGGCCAGCCTGAGCGAAATAACAGATCGAAAACATCAAAAAAAAAAAAAAAAAAAACTTCATATTTTACATAGAGAAGTATTTTATTAATATATCTATTTTCTCAGGATAGGATTATAGCTTATTTATTTATTTAGAGACTGGGTCCACTATGCAGGTTGGGCTGGCCTCAAGGAGATCCTCCTGTCTCAGTCTCCTGAATGCTGGGATTACAGGTTTGGGCCACCATGCCCACCAGGAGTATAGCTTTTAAAACATCTTCAGAAGTACATTTTAGGAATACAAAAGTCATAATTTCTTTCCAGGAACTAGTGATAGAGGAAAGAAGGCTAGCGTTGAAGAGAGCACTTCACAAGGCCACAGAAATCAGTTCTTTGCCAAACATGACAGACCTACCACAGTGCAGTAGGCTACCCAACCCTGCTAAGCGGGCCACAGAAACCAAGGCAGGGCTCTTGCCAAGGACAGGGCATTTGTCATGGTCTTTTGTTTTTAAGAAAGCTCTCCAGATAATGCACAAGGGTTACCAAGAGGCCTACTTCTTTGGGCGCAACTCTGGCACCTTCAGGGCTGCACTATAGCCAGATTCTCAGTCACAAAGGATGCAAAGGATGTGCGCAGCTGCACACTTGTATGCGGCGGGACCCAAAAACACAGCGAGTGGTTAAATCTTTAAAAATGTATTACCATAAAAGACTCATTGTCATGAGTCCCCCTCAAAATCCTCTCACTCACTTTGCACACATTGAACACATCCTTTTTTTTTTTTTTTTTTGCCACATGCTGAAGCAGTTCTGAAGTCCTCTTTCCTGAGTGTCTTTGATTGTGCTTTTGTGGCTGCCCCAATGTCCTGAGTCAGTTAAAAACATTTTACTTTCTTTGTTTTTTTTTGTTCCTTTTTTTTGGTTTTTCTCCGGTACCAGGAACCGAACTCACGACCTTGCGCTTGCCAGGCAGGCGCTTTGCCGCTGAGCTAAATCCCCAGCCCCTTTTTTTCCTTTTGAGACAGGGTCTCACTATGCAGTTCAGGCTGGACTTGAACTCACTTTGTAGCCCAGGCTGGTCTCGAACTCACAATGATCCGCCTGCCTCAGCCTCCCGAGTGCTGGGATTACAGGCGTGCACCACCACGCCCTGTAAACATTTCACTTTCATGGTCATTTTGACTTTGGGAAAGAGCCAGAAGTCACACGGTGTGAGATCCCATGAATAAGGTGGACCAGGACACGGCACAATGCTTTTGAACCTGCATTTCTCTTAGATGGCACTCAGCACAGCTTTCACCATATTTTTTATTACACCTTGTAAACCACTCACAAAAGAGGACTTGCAGAACTGTTGCAGAAAGTGGTAATAATAATAGGATTAAGTGTGTGTCCGAAGTGAGATATATTTATAAACTTTGAATAGTTTCCAAAATGACTATTTGAAGGGGAATAATGGCAATGTCTTTTACTATTAAAAAATAGTAATTTTTTATGTAAACACGTACTGTGTATTTTGAGCATACTATTTTATGGTTTGTATTTAGATGTCCCCCAAAGCCTCATGCACTCATTGTGGGGCTTTGGGATGCAGACGGCTGATGCTCATCTATGGAGTAGTCCACTGATGAGTTTATAGCTAACTGTGATGTTGAAAGGGAAGCCCAGTTAGAGAAGGAGGTCATGGGGAGTGTGGCCTGGAAGGATCCATCTCTCTGCTCCTCCCTTGATTCCTCCCTGCCCCTCCCTTGATTTTTCCCTGCTTCCTGCCGGCCCTGCCATGAGCTGTTTCTCCCCTGCAATGTCCCTTTGCCACGTCACCCTGCCTTGGAGCCAGATGATTATGAACCGAAACCTTTACAAGCTGTGAGCCAAAATAAACCTTTTACAGTTGTGGGTGTTGGGTATGTGTCTCACCAATGAGAAAGTAACTAGGACACACTGTGTGTAAGTGTCCATGCATGCCCTGGCTTTACCATTGTTCATTCGTCAGCTCCCGGCCACCCAATCCACTCTATCCACTCTTTATTTCAAATCTGCCGTCCCGTGTGGCTGCTCTGAGCTTTGTTCTTGTTTTCTCCTTCTCTGCCAGCACTGCTTGGAATGAGGAGCTTGACTTCAGTCTGGCCTGGTCCCACCTGGCCCTTCCTCCAAACATTTTCAGGCATTATTTGTTCATTCAACTTGCAGCACACACAGCTTTGAAGACTCCTGTGCAGTAGACCGGAGGGAGATTAGAAGTCTGTTTTTGTTGGCCCAGGCTCTTCATTATGGTTTCAGGAAATGAATTTCAAAGTAGTGAGTCAGCACAGATAACATAAAGAGGTTGCACAATCTTTCTAGCATAAATCAGCCAATGAAGATTTAATTGCTGTAGATGGGCAGGGTCAGCGAAGCAGATTTGCTGTAATGTTAATATGCCTTAAGCTTCAAAGTGTCTTTGAAGGTCTTGTATGTCATTTTGTATTTTAATTTTGAGGTCAGTTTCTTAAAGAACTCCTTCCCCTCAAGGTAATTTTAAAACTTGGATCAAACCCAGGGCATAGGGAGGTTGACAAGAATATGAATTTCAATTTAAGTTAGGTAATTAAAAATTGTGCAAGAACATTGTAGAGAAGATACGGATTTTAGAAGTGCAGCTAGTACTTTAAGAAAGGAATTTTTGCTAACCTGTGACTTGGGAGGAATCAACTTGGAATATAATGCTCAGGTTCTAGGTCCCTGCCTGGGGCCTCTGGTCACAAACTCAACCAAACTGAGGCAGGAAGTTTGTTCTCTTAGTTGAATAAATGACTATAAGAAACCAAAGGGGGCAGGTGTGGTGGCACACGCTTGTAATTCCAGCACTTGGGAAGGTAAAGCAGAAGGATGGCCATGAGTTCGAGGCCAGTGTGGACTATATAGTAACCTCAAGGCCAGCCTAAACTATATAGCAAGATCCTGTCTCAAAAAAAAAAAAAGGGGGGGGGGAGAAAAAAAGAAACAAACTCAAGGAAAGGGAAAGGGGGAAAGGGGATCAAAAATGATCAAGATATGATATATATGTACCAATTCTCTAAAATGGATGTAATCATTGTGTATTGCAAACATATACTAATAAAGAAATGGATGAAAATAAAACTAATAATACTTCGGTGACATTTTTATTATAATAATGTGTGTATGTTTTGTCATCTGAGATGTTTAAACATTTTAGAGGCCCTGGTATATTAGAGAATCTAATTCATTAGATTTGTCACTTTAATTTGTATTTAATTTCCCCTGTATTTTTTATTCAAAAGCTCTGAAAGATTTTGCTTATGAACAGTATTTTGCTGCTTAGGGGAATCAGTTTCCTGCTAAGAGTTCTGACTTACTAAATTGGTGAGTAGTGATTCAGGTGCTTTGGATGGTGCATTAGTTTTCTGTCACTGTGATAAAATCAGAAAATCAACAAACGAAAGGTTTGTTTTGGTTCACGGTTTCAGAAGATTCAGTCCATGATTCCTTGGCCCTGTTCCCAGGCAGAATCTCATAGTAGGGAGCACATGACAGGGAAAAACTGCTCACCTCATGGTGGCTGTGAAGCAGAGACAGAGGTAGGAGCAGGCTCCCAATGTCCCTTTCAAGATGCCCCATTGACCTAACATCCTCCCCATAGACCCCATCTCTTAAATCCCACCACCTGCTGACAGTGCCATCAGCTGAGATGAAGCCTTCAATACGTGAGCCTTTGGAGGACAGTTAGAATCTAAACCACAGGAAACAACTGGTTTTGTCAGATTTTCAGCAATGTTGCATTGGTAAGTGTAGCAACTGCAAACATTAACCATGTAAATAACACTGTCATCATCGACGATTTTAAGCTGCCAATGGTGATGTCCCTGAAGCTGAATTTGGGAATAATAGGCCCAACCAGCTCTTCCAAGTCTGAGCGGGCTGGCTCTAGCACACGAGTGCTTGTAAGTGTGCCTTGTTATAAATTGGATATTTCAGAATCAACAGAGAGCCAGGTATATATATAGCTCAGTAATGCAGTGCCTGCCTGGCAAGTGTGAGGTCCTGAATTCGATTTCTTGTACCAAAAAAAGAAAAAAAAAAAAAAACCAGCAGGGAATAGGAATGTATGCATTTAAGCTTAAACATATTAAAATGTTCAAAGGCATTTGAAGTCATCAGTGAACTCAGAGCTGGAAAACTTACTACCTCACAGGCAGGTTACACAACATGGAATAATGGGCCCCAGATTGGATGTGGAACACAGAGATCTAGAAAAATGGCCCAATAATCTGCCTTGTTCATCAGCTTGGTCTCCCTGTGCTGATGACCTCCATTGGCATCATGGATCGAAAGGAAGAGAAAAGCATGTAGAAGGGAAAACCCTAGAACTATATTCCCCTAGGAATGTAATAAATGAAAACAAATGAAATGCCTCAATGTGGGGGAAGTACACCTGGGGCATTCTAATTTCCAGCCTCCTCCTCCACCCCTCCACTCCTGACTTGATCTTTCTGCA